GGCCCAATGCTGCCAGTGCCCCGGCTACGCCCGCACAAATCCCTGACATGGCCGCAGATGTCCCGGCTGGCGCCACACCCCCAGTCCAGACTCCACCAGTCGGCCGTCAAGCCGCCTATGCCGAGACTCGCCGCTGGCTCGAAATCGTCCGGCAGATTCGGGAGATGCCCGACCCTCAAGGGTCCATCCTGTGGTGTTCGGTGATTTACGTCTTCGTGCAGGCCGCCAAAGCTGTGGCCACTTGGTGCGACGAGATTCTGGACTAGGAGGCTTTGGAGGACTAAGCTGCCATCATGAATACGCGGTGTTTTGTGTGTTTGGGTGTGGGCTTCTATCGGGTTTTGGGGCGGTGTTTTATCCTTCTTTTTTGGAGCCCATGGGAGCACGAGATCATTGACAGCATCATACCAGCATAAAATGCTGATGCAAAGTCGGCTGCTGCCGCACTAATGAAACCTTTTGGGAGGCCCTCGGGGCGCCATGCCCGCAATTTTCTACTGTTCCGATGTCTTCTGAAGTGATTTTACTTTTGTGCTCCAGAGCATCTGGGGGTGCAGTCTTACACACGTCTTCGACTTGATATGTGTGATCTACGAGATTGTGATTGAGTCCAAACAAACCAAAACTTGATCAAACATCAGATGAAAGAGTTTAAGGACCTATAGAAAAGTGGGTGACTATTCGAGGGAATTTTCAGTCTCATTCTCAATTAATTGTCGTCGTCTGAATTATTCTAACCCCGTCTGAAACCCGCCCATCGTCCACCCCGTGCAGCGGACGGAAATCTCTCCCGACACGACCGTGAGCGCGATTTTGCTATTTCTACGGCCGAGTCCTGCTTCTCGAAGGCCGGAGGAAAGAGGTCCTCGGCCTGTTCAACAGTCTCGGGACGTGCACGCCGGCGATCGCCTCCGCTAAAGAGCTGTCCGAGGAACACCGCTGCTACCTGCGAGAGCGGCTCGGCGTCGGCTCGGACACGGACATCGTCGACAAGCACGGGTAGACGGTGCTGAATCATGCCGTATTCAACAGCGACACCAAGACCGAGGCGGTCGTCCTTGACGGCCTAAGGAAGAACGGGGCGGCGAAGATCGCGCAGCGGCAGACCGAGGCCCAGCTGAAGAAGGGCTACCGCGAGCTGTTCCAGGGGTACATGCGGCCCACACTGCTCGGCAGGGGGGCGGGTTGTGGAATGAGTGTTGTGAAGCGCAAACCAGATTCAGAGTTCAACGCGGCTCAAGACTGTACGTTTTACTCCCATACCAATGTCCCACGTACACCTCCTCAGCGACGACGTTGCTGCACTGAGCGACAGTCCAAATTGGTAACGATTAGGCTTAAGAAGGGGCTTTGCAGGGGCTCGCGCTCACATTGATTCCGCGGTATTCTTCTTTTACAGCATGTCGCAGGAGCGCACCTAAAGCATCAGGGCTTCCAAACATGCATTGCTATCTCCTGTGTGGATAATGACTCAGCAATCCATCTACCAGTAACCGGAGCTGGGGACAACCAAGTCACGGCTCCGTTAATCCTCGCGGCTTAGCTGTAGTACAAACGGCGCCAAGCCATGCCGTTCTAGCAGCCAATACCTGTTAACGTTAACCACACCTTGGTGCGAGCATATGTGTAATGAACATGGGAACATATGCCAGTCGGTCGACCATGAATCTTGAACGTCTTGGTCGCTCTGACTCTGCGTTGGCCAAATACTGCGGAAGCCCGGATGGAATGGTCCCTCTCTGATCTTCAGCCGTGGAATATTTTCCTTCTAATGATTCGGATACGGGGGGTCACTTCTCTCTCGTTCATACTTGTCATCATATGATGGTTGAACTGATAGCTCCCAACTGCTCTGGCATCGCGATGTCCGTGTCCGTTTGACACACCACGGCCAGGTCATGTTGACAAAGTACGCAAAAGTGGAATTTTGCTCATCCCGGGTGCCTTGAGGGTACATGTAATCTATCAGTTGGAAGTGAAAATCTTCCCAGCCTTCCAGGTACAACCTCATCACGTCAAGAAACGATAGTGGGGCGCTGCGCCTGCTTAGTCGTGGAAATGACGTTGAATATGTTACACGTCAGAGTCCTATCGATAGTAAATTCATAATAGGTCTTATACTCAGTGTTCTTAGTAAGGAACGAAGATATCTATTTGCTGTTGCGCTGTGTTGAAACTATAGCTGTCGAAGGGTCCTATGAGATTTGTTTTCTGGAGTCGACAATATATATTAGCGTCAGCCTCCACCACCTCAACACCACCCTCACATTCCAATTGTTCAAAAGGCTCTACAATAGTCAGGGTCATTGCAAACTTGCGAAGGTTGGGTATTTTGCCGATGGCCCTGTAAATAGACACTTCCTGCGCGTCCCCTTTCGATCGTTGGATTGGGATCGCCAGACTTTCCAGCGCATCTCCTCGATGTGCTTCAATTGGAAGGCTCTGAGCCTCCTTTCCGAGATTTCGAACTTGAGCGTCCGCAGCTTCGCGCCCAAAATTGGCGATAGACCGTAGCCTGAATGCCAGTTCTTTATTCTGAAGTGGCGCAAGGTCGCCAGGTTTCCGAGAAAGCGTGTTGCTGTCTTGTAGTATCCGCGATCTTTTGTTTTCTTGTGCTCATCACGCACGATGGCGGGAGTTGCCGGGGATGGAAAGCTGCAGTCCAACAAGTATTTCAGACATTCGAGACTAATTGCCGCCGCCGTCTTGGGGACCCGCAAGACCACAAAGTTGGTATTCTGCCGCCACAGGTTGAAGACTTCACTGCCCAGCTAAGGGTAGTGGCTGATATGTAGGCTTACTAAGGAGTCAGTGGGCGACGGAAACTGTGCTCTGTCTAGAGATCTCTAAGATGAGTTTTAAGGCGATCTGAAGCTTTCCCAAATGACCCGAGACGTTCCTCGTCCCACAAGTACTGAGAAAAGTTGCCAAAGTTAATGGCTTTGAGGCCGTGTGATAGACTCGTCGTCAGTTGGAGCATACACGCATTTTGTGCGCCATTGAAGTCAATCGCACCCCCTGCATCTAAATAGTAAGCGTCGGTTGGCGGAAGAGACCAGGGGCTCGGCGATCTGGTACTGTAGAGACATGGAGAGGGTGCCAGCATGAACTCGTAGGGGTCCAATGTCGAATCGTTCAGGACCACGCCCAAGAATGTCCAGGATAGGCCCGGGATTCTTGAGGATAATACCAACACCACAGTACCTGAACTTGACGGTATTGGAGAGCCAAGCTCGTGGCACGGCATTGCAGCAGTGCCCCGCGCAGGGAGATGCCCTTCAGCACCGCGCTGCATTGTGGGAGCAAAGAGCGAGACGCCACTGCCGCGACAGATATTGCATGGGGAAACATATCAAAAGCATCGGACCTGGGTGAAGATTGAACGGATGCAGAACTGCGGGCGAGACAGCGGAGGGGGCGTTTCTGGCAACAACTACACCGCAGGACGGGGCCCCGATTCCGCCCACGCATGAAAACAAATGTGACGCGAGATGAATGAAAACAAGAATGTAACATGTAGAACGAAGCAATTTGATCTCGCTGAAACTAAGGCCCGACTTCGTCATTGTGCATCTCATCCTCAAGACTAATCCTCTCGAGGCGAAGAGTTGGCGTCCGGGCGAGATCAGCCCGGCCCAGCGTCCGGACTCCGAAAGGGTGGATCCCGGAACCCGGTGGACCCGTGCGGGCCCCGAGACTCGCCCGGAAGCCAGGTTCTCTTCGCTCTGACGCCTTCACATTAGCGAAACAAGCGTTCCCTAAATAACATCACGTAATGCGAGAAACATTCTAAAATTCTTCATTTGCTTCATTGATACTTGAACGAAGCGCTGCGATCTCTGAACTCGACAAGCCCTGCTGCAGATGTGCCCACTACCCAAATTCGGGTTTGCTTTGAGTGTCACTCCTACGGAACATGGTGCAAGAAGTATATGGAAGAGGTCCATAATAGAAAAAACACTGTATGAATAGCTCCATGGGTATGAAGGAAACGAGTCGATATTTCCAAGCATCGGGGGGTGCACCAGGTCCCCTGCCATGGCCATGGAGTACCGACGACGGAGTTTTGACCAATGAGGCTCTTAGGTTCAGAATCAGTCAGCTGATGGAGCTGGCAACACCGCGCGCTCATAGTATTGGATCCCTGACACTGCGCTACAAACACCGAAAAAAGTCTTATCTTGTTCTTAAGGCCTCTAGACGGATGCAAACAGAAATTGGATGGTTTTCACCACAGTGAACCAAGTATTGGCAGCTGGGACTTGGTCACCCAACACCGCCCAAGCTCCGTCCATACCTCAGTAATTTCCCTTGACCCTGTCCATTAATCGTCTACATCCCACGGATTCGAGTCAGAGATGCAATGCAAAACTGGAATGCTCATTTTCGGAGTGTCCATCATCCGCTCTGTGGCATCGTGACCGAGGTTTTGTTGCTTCGCGACGGATGCGATAAGCCGTATCTTGTCTAATCAAAGGCACATACCGGGTCTTATCTTATCAGATCATCCCCACCCCCACCTGCCACCGACCCCCACCATAACCCGACACCATGGACGTACCGACGGTCTTCTACGAATACCAATCTCTCGACTCCTCCTCTCGACGCCTTTCTTTCGACTTCTCCCCTGCCCTCAACACATCCTGTCGCGGACTCTGGTGTCTTTCCAACCCACTCGACCCGTCCTCGCGCGGCCAGGGCCCAGAGAACGTTGTTTTGTTTTCCTGAAATGCCCGTCCAGACACGACGGCAGCGAGATCAATCAGCCGACATTGAATACCTCGATCGGCAGGTAGAAGGCCTTGCCGAGGCCATTGTTGCGGCATTCGACGAGTCGGACGAGTTAGTCCGTGATGCCTAGCGGACGCTGCTGGACCAATACTCGTACCGTCTCAGCAAATTGAACCGTGTGCGACGCCATCGCGACACCTTCCCAGCCTGGATATTTGCGAGGCTCCAGGACCACCTCGATCGGGTGCTCGCCATCGTCTACGGAGAGCACTGGGAGAAAATCGAAGCGAAATCAGATCAAGGCCGGCACCAAAAGAAAGCTGCCACATCTCTCGGCCTCTCTCACCCCCATCAGTTGTACGTCTGGTATGGGGAACAGGCCGTCGCATCGCGAAGGTGCTGGCAAGCAGACTGGGCTGTGCTTTCGGACATGTCCGCGGAACAACTATTCGACAGTTTGCTGGAAGTACGCATCGATATCGTGGATAGTCAGAGAAATCCGGCAATCACCGACAACTACCTCGAGCACCCATTCGCCTCGCGAGACTTTGCAAAATTGAAGAACAAGCGCAAGCAACCACGAGCAGCCACGGCAGATACCTCCGACCTGCACTTCAGACCGAAAGCCAACCTCCTTCCAGTGCCCGAAAATAACAACAGCAACAACAACAACAAAGAAAGCAGCGAGGGTGAGCACGAGGACAAAGACCCGACACCAAGCCTCCCAGAAGCCGAGGATCGGTCAGAACAACCAGCAAGCCGCGGAAGCCCAGGGGGTACACAAGATCAAGGCGAGCCAGAATCCCACCATTCGTCACCACGCGCCTCGCATTCGCTCTCGCGACAGGATAAGGCCCGGCCAGTGGACAAATCTTCAACCCGACAGAGGGAAGCAAGCGAAATTGATCCCACACCACAAGGCGACATACCACGGACCATCATCGCAGACCACCCGTCGCGAATTTTGTCGATATCCCCCGGAGTTCCAAGAGGGGGGCGTTTCGATAGCTTGGTTCGAAATTCGGCAGACTTCGAAGAGAGTCTTGCTGAATTCAATTGGGTTCCCCCGTCACGAGAAGACACCCCGGACAGCGGCGTCAACGTTCCCATTGCAGATACCGCGTCGGAAGACTCGGAGCAATTTTTCGACTCGTTCTCAGATCCGATGCAGGCCGACGCAATGACACCCCTACGCGAAGGCAAAGTCCGACAAGCCAGACGCCAAGCGATGGCCCAAAGCAATACCAACGCGCAGGACATTCTGTCTCAGGCAACAGACATGTTGAAAGACGTCACGAATCAGGAAAGGGTGGATGGTTATTACGAGGAGCTCGTTCAGAATGACAAGGAAGAGGCTGAGGCCACCTTGACCCAACTGCGCCAAGACTACATCAATCGTCTCGATCGCATACAGAGGCTCCCTTCATTGCAACTTGTTGGCGATGAACCACCCTAGAGATCTTGGGCTCGCACGGTTGTCGAGTCGCATGGAAGATCGGCCGAGGACATTGAGCAAAATGTGAGCGAGTATCATCGCAGGAAGCGGGTTGCAGAGCTTTGCATTAACGCCGGGGCGACTAAGAGAAGGAAGGTCGCTGAACAGTTGGAAGTTGTTCGCGAATCGATCCAAAAGTTGTCAGACATCATCGAAGAACCGCTACCTCCAAGGTTCGATGATGAAGACGGAACGCTTGGGTTAAACGGCCTTCCCCAGACATTTGGGCAGAGGGATGCCCCGGTCGATGCATGGAACGCACAAGCGGCGGCGGACCAAAGAGAACGCGTCAGGAGCAGCAGTGCAGGGAGCAGCGAAAAGCAAGATGAATTGAGCAGCAAACAATCTACCAGCGACAAGTTGAGTACCAACGGGAGCGATGGGCACGTTCGAGATCGTGAAGCTGAATTTCAACACCTCTCCACGGCGGACCGGGAGCTCGATGACGATGATGCCAGCGCCAGCATAGATAGATATTGATGATAATACCATCGTCAGCACGCGACGCAAGTCATTGCTTATCAAGAGGGCCGAAGCAATTATGGTTGCAGATTCAGAGGAAGAGAGCAGGCAGGCAGAGAAAAGTTAGCCAGATGTTGATGCGCAGCCTGGCGAAGAGGCGCCTGCAGCAAGCAGCGTCGCAGCCGAGGACAGGGATTGAGGCGTTGTGGAGTGGCCCGTGCTCGGGATGCTGGAATCATTGCGTCGCCCACGGTCGCAGGGCAAAAAAGGTACATTGGCACCCATTTCGCTCAACGCTGGTTATTAAATCTGACAAAATTCTCGGGTCATATTCAAAAGACAAGCACACCTGATGCATCTATTTTGGAGCCGATGCCACCATGCTGCGATGGGGCTGTCACCCACAGGACGGGAAAAACTGTGCCTAGATCTGGGCACAGTTTAAGCAAAAATCAGCAAATCCTCGCATCAAGACATTCCTTCGGGCGGAAAAAGACAGAGAGGGTCTCAAATAGAGTTAGATTGACTTGAATACATTTTATTTTCTGTCATTCGCCTTTGCTGTGTCGTGAGGTTAATGTACCTCTTCCCGCGTAAATGGCTGCTGTGTAGGCCGACCCGGTGGACCCACCCCGCCGACGACGCCGTCCCGTGGCGGAGCACGCACTGAGATAGCATCCTCGCGAGGTGCGCGATCGTCTGCTCTATGTTAAGGGATAATACTTTCACGTTGAAATCAATCGCCTCAGTACAATGCGGATTGCTATCGGCTCACTACCCTGAATGCTTGTAACCGCTCAGCAGTAGGGCCGTCGGGTTTCAGCCTGGACTTTCGCCTGCTAAATCACTTCCCTTCTTCGAACGACTTCATCCTAATCGCATAAGTAGCCACCGCCTGTGTCAGGTAACAGCCCAGGGTCTAGCCCAGGGCTTTCCTCTAAAATGTGCGCCCCTTTGCTCGCGCTAAGCCCGACCGAAAGCTCGACGTCCGCGCCCATTCTTGCTTGGACTTGGGACAAACCTAAATTTCTCCCGAATGCTTCAATCTCTTCGGTCAGAAATGCAAATGTAGTTGTGTTCAAATTCCTTGAGGTGTGAGACACTGTTACTGCTGCCTCAAGTATCAATGATTTGCGAGTCGCAACCGACGCTAAGGAACCATGAGAAGCCCACCGTTCGGGCAAGCTCTGCGCGACTTTCATGGCCCGAAAATGCGTTTTTCAATACATCAAGAGGTGAGTCTTATTTGTTCTAGTCGGACATTACAGCATGTCATGTGCTTGTTCAGAAACAATACACCATCGATACGAACTATAAGCACCCAGTCTGAAGCGCAGAAAGCTGAATCCAAATCACTAAGAAAATTGCTTTATTTCTCTATAACTACATATAAAAGTCATCTCAGTTGCAACTGTCCATATTAACTGAGACGGGTAGACCTCTTACTATCCTTGTAGGTTCTTAAACCCTTAATCCCTGGAGAGTATTCCTCCTCAGTTCCCATAGAAACGGCAAACACCTAGTCCATGGACTTGAATTCCAGTAATACGGGAGTAAGGACGGTTGCTAGCTAATGTCAGTCGACTTTTCTGGGCTAACAATCAGTAGATTTGATGCTAACCCCAGTAGGGAGATGTTTCCAGAGTGCAAGGCTTCAGAATGGCCCCTCGTGGCTGTTAATGACGTGCAAAAAGACGAAGAATCTAGGTCGCCTCCTAGCATAAAGGTAGCTGGAAGCACAGAGTGAAGACAGCTCATCCTAACACGCATGTGATATGCTGAATTCGGTGGCCTTGGAGTCGGGAATTGCGTATTGATGGACCTCATCGCGGTCTGCCTTCAGCCGCGCAGCTTCTGGATGCTCATATCCGTCTCTGTGACAACAAGCTCAACGGTCGGTTGAATCTCATATCTATCGCAAAGCACCAGGCGGACTCCTTTCTCCTTGAGGGGCATCCAATCATACCTCCAGCCTGGTATCGGAAGGTAAGGTTGATATCTGAGCCAGTAGAATGGACATGCTACCTGGTGTTCATTCCGCAGCATGGAGATATGGTTCCTCGCTTGACGGCAGTCTAGAATTAGCATCAAATCGCCATTATTCGGAACGAAGCTCAGACCAACACGGATGCCGGGCACGACTAAAACAATGTCTTGGAGACTAGTCAAAGTCCCCATAGCAGGAAGAAGGAAATCCTTAAGGATGCCGTCGAAACGAGTGAAGTAGTTAAATTGAATGTATCTGAATGTATCTGAACTTCGCGAAGAGTTGGATGCCAGTCGTTGGAATAGGCTTCATCTCCTGCATAACTCTGTGCCACTGCCAGCACTCGAAGATATCGCAATCCGTGTGCACGAACATGGCTGGAATCCGAAAGCCTGGACAAGGCAACACATCAAAAGATTTCTTGGCGACTCTTCGGCCCGTTCGATCCATGCCAATCACGGGATGGAGTCGACGTAACCGCTCTTTTGCTGTTGACTGGCCGTTCGTTCTGCGATGGCCCCAGTGAACGGCGTTGACATAGAGTTCACCATTGGCGTTTTCGAAGAATAGGTCCCAGACGATTGGGTCCATCGACTGGACGATGTCTTGAAGCGTATGCTCGAGGATCAAGGTGAATATCTCGGTTAGGATACTGGCTGGCCCGAGTTTGCATTCGTCTGAGCCTGAAGGCTGGGTTGGCATTTTGAGAGGCTAGGAATCAGTCAGCAGGTGGTTTGCCGCCCGAACGAACAGCAGACAAGGCTCACCTGTTTTTTTTTCCTTGGCAGAAAAGTGACTGTCTCGTGAAGGAGGACTGATCTGGATGGTGCAGAGAGGCCGCCGTGTGGTGAACAGGAATGGCAGGTGCGATTGAGATACCAGGAGTCCTTTCAGAAGTGTGTTTTAATGTTCCTGTAGTTGTTTTCCGCGGGCTGGAACGATCGCAGCTGGGGGAGTAGGCGTGGAGAATTGTTGGGAGGTTGCAGCTATTTGAGATTTGTCGGGAAGAAATTTTCTTGAAGTCTTAATTGGTGAAAGACAAAATCGGGAGAAATGGAAAGCGTTCGAAAAACCAACCTGGTTTGATGCGTATCTCTTCTGGCGGCGGACGATGCGGCCAGGTCAGGCATTACAACAAATACTGTCCAAACAAGAATTCAGGCAACGCGACTTTTGTTGTGTCGTTACTGCCGTCGCTGTCGTCATCGGCATCGTTGTTGTGGTCTTGAGCGCCAAACAAAAGAAATAAAGCTTCGCCCCCAAAATAATTAGGTCGCTGTCACAACTTTGAAATTCGAAGTCTACCTCGCATTTAACTGGCTGCAGGCACTAGACAAGCTATTGTGGCATGACTTAGTGTCAGGAATGCCTCTTTGACTTGAATGAAATCATGAGCAACTCGTAGGTGATGGAGAGTTGCATGGCACCTCAGTACCATGAGCACGGCTGCAGAAATGCGATAGGCTCCTGCAACGACCGCCATCGTGACGTATTTCTCATGCTTCTAGGTCTACTGAGCATCACTTCGTTGTAATCAACCCCGGATTCCAGGTTGAGAGAGATGGAGCCTGTAGACTCGCCAACGTCAAATCAGGCGAAAGTCACGGCGCATCTGCCTTCAAATAAGTCGCAGTCGCAGGCCCAGACAGTCGACTCATTCCTTGCAATATACCCGCTCAGCGCAGTTGTGGTATTGAATTACTACGGAGTGCCCGTGGTTGTGTCTTTAATCGTGCCCTCTACGAACGCGAGGCTTGGCGATGTAACTTTGTTAAGGCGGGACGTGGAAAGTCAAAGTGAAATAAGGGGCATTTACGACATGATCTCAGATTCTTAAGTGGGATGTGGGTGAAGGGAAGTGCGGACCAGAGCGGGAGCAAGCGCTTAGCTTCTCATAACAACCCAGCGAGCTTCCGAAGTGCAATAGAAGGAGAGACCGGAAAAGCGTTCATCCCACACTCACCATAAACAGTTTGACAATTCTCGATTTGGATTGCAACAACCTCGCTTCAAGGTGAAGGCTGGCCAATCGGCCAGATACGCGTTCTGCGCCAACCGGGACAGGGATGAAGTCCGACAGCACGGCAGCTCACAAAAGGCGAATCATAAGATAATTAAGCAAACGATCAAACAGTAGTGTTGCATGATGTATCCCAGAAACGTGCCGGCAAAGGTGTCATGATCAATTGGGTGACTTGAAGTTTTCACTGGAGTAAATGAGAGAGGCTGGGAACGCATGTCTACGTAACATGTGTTCTTTGCTTTTGCCACTGTCCGTGGACTGATGCCTTACAATGCTGTGTGGTGGCCCGATCGCGTCCGCTTCTTGTTTCGTGAATGGGCCCTGAAAGACCCACTGTACCTGCACAGTACCCTGTTGCGCGACACTGATCGGGCGAAAGCGGCTCGGGTCGATCCTTGAACATCTGGGGACGATGCATGTAAGAATAACTCCACACTGATACGAGCCTTTTCTGTTTCTTTTTGCTAGGCGCTGCCCTGCAACGTTGGGATCATTGAAGGATGGCTTCCATAGCACAATTTTCCAAACACGCGAACTCAACGCGAAGGCCGTCAGTAGACGAGAATGAATCTTAATACTGCTCTCAGTTGGGTAAAGTATGTGATTTGCAATTATCTATGCCAGAGCCATTGAATCCATTATATCTAGTAGTAGGTGAACCTGGTTTCATACATAACTTCCACAGATATATCTGTCAGCCCGGCAGATGTCCTCTCGCACCCATCACTAGACTCTTAGTGGGCCCCATTGCCCCGCTGAAGTAGTTTCTCAAGGCAATCACTGCAAGACCAATCACTTGAAGGATGGAGGAGCTGGAGGAGCAGTACCCAGGCCTGAAGGATTAATTTCAACATCGCCAAGTGACAACAGAACCTCGCATGATTCCTGAAAACACAGAATGAGTTGTGGAGCTATTAGTGCTGACATGGCCTTTGACTGCCTATTGCGGGTCGGTATCATGTTCCCCTTAGCCGGTGGTCCAGTTAGCTGTTTTCATCGGCAATCAAGAGCTATGACAGTTTGGAAAAAAATTGCCTTGCATGAGATCTTGGTAGAGCGTTATGTGAAAAAGCCCTCGTCTGTGCAGCGGAAGAGAGACTCGTAAACGGGCCAAATCAGAACTGCCTGTTGTCCAGCTCTGTGCTTCTTTAGGTATAAAGGCACGCGAATTCCGCTACTTGTCGTGGCTTTCCTCCGGTCACTCACAATCACACTCTTCAGTCATTCCGTATTATTTATCTTCAGCAACTGCCAAATGTCCAAAATGCTCATCACCAACATCCTCACTACTGTCACTACAGCTAACGCTGTCTTTGCCTTTACTGGTGCGGCGTATGACATGCGTGTTATGAAATACGCCAAGACTGGCTGCTCTTCTCATGGCGGCGGAAACCTGGACTGGAACAGGGGCTTATGCCACGGCCTCTGCAGCAATGATTGGGGCATGAAGGTCGTTGATTACAACATTAATTGCAAGAGTAAGCATGAAAAAACCCCAGAACCTAGGGTTATGACACATCTAACCTTGATAATGGTGAGGGGTTACTCGGATGGAAACTGCAGGAGTAAGGTGGTGACGGCCTTCAGCACGAGACATTGCCACACTCTTAAGGAAGTCTGATCTGTCCGTGTCGAATGCCAGTAAGACGTACTATATGCCTTCCATTGATGCATAACGGTGCATCTGAGCCTCTGTCTCGCCCTCTTGAGGGAAGGCCAGCAACCCTCATTCTAAGCGTTACGCTCGTCGTCGCTGCGAAGAAACAGCGGCCCAGGTCTTGGAGCAGGGTGACTAGATAGAAGGACACAGGCACACCACATTATCGTTTTAAAGTTTCAGAACTGTGACACAGTCAATCGTCTGGAAATTACCCAAACTCATGTTCAAGCCTATCAACGGTGGCCGCTTGCGGAAGGATATTGATCTCAATGCGACGCACGTAAGGCACTTTAACCTTCTTTAAAACGCATGTGGAAAGTGAACAAGAAGACGCGGCGAGAATGAGTGACGTCTTAGAGAATGAACTCCACGACAGACTGATGAAAGACTTCTTAGTTAGCAATTACATTCTTGTAGATCTGAATACCTTCATCTAGGCTATTGACCGGCATGGCGGAGTGCGAATCGCATGACCTTTGGATATCCAATGCCGTATAAGTGTGATGGCAATTGTGTGGGCTGTTCCGCTGTACCAAAGGTGATCAATCTGAAACGAACGTGTCCATTAGAGACAGAGCTTTGACTCGTCGTTTATGCGTGGACACCGAACCCTCCAAGGGCTTTCATTCCGCTGGATGTGTCAATGGTCAACCCTTGCACCTCGACCAAAGAAGATCCAAGTTCAAATGAATATTAAAGTACACTGTTCACAAGAGTCCTTAGTGTGAGTGAGTATTGAATGTATGAAGTTCAAGACGAGAAAAACAGAGATGTAGAACATTTCTCTGACCCTGCCCGGCCCGTATTTCCATTATTATGTTTTGCTGGCCCGCGCATTGCCCCAACGGCCTCGACCTTGGTTCGGTCTGCCATCCAGAATTGAATTTTGATAAACAAAGCGGGGAAGAAGGATTGCCTGCTTCCTGCAGTTGAGGTAGATCATGATGGCCCAGTGCATTGGACATGTTATTGCCTGCGTCCTACCGCAGTTATAATGGGTTCACGCAAATTTTCTAAAGCCTCCTCAACAGCCAGTCGCTTTGAAGATACATCAATTGAAACGAAAATCCAAGGCAACAAGTATTAAGTCCACAGAGATGTGTCCCCGTACGAAAGCGGTTCATCCGATGACAACGCACTCTGCATATGCACTAGATAACAGCGACGCAGCCTGCATGAAAAGTGTAGATTATTGCCAATCGCGGAAACAGGCGCGCCACAAGCTGCAGCCTTCTTGAGAGAGCTTCACCGAGTTTCTACAATCGGGCGCCGGCCAGGCTGGCACCAACGTGGTGCTGCATGTGGGTGCAGCTGATTCTCCTGCCTGCAGTCGACCCACCCCCGCATTTGCATCCAAAGGAGACCAGTGCAGTACCAAGTTCCAAAGCCTTCCCGGTGGCAAAAGTCTCACAAGTTTCACTTGCGAGCATGTTGTTGGCATAGCATTTGCTGTGGTTGAATTTAATGACCATGGTTTACGCAGTGCGATGAAATCCGTTGATGCGCAAAAAATGGTTCGCTCTTGATTGAACCAGAACTTGGTGCTTTCCCTTTCGACAGGCAACAAATTGTGAATGATCTGGCTTGTCAGGCTGCCAGATAAACATTCTAAAGTCAGATTCTGCGGCAGCTTGTGAAGCGAATCAGTGATAATAGAAAAGCCAGGAAGAGAACGAATGAGAATTCCCCCTGTTCATTAGCATAATACGAGACTAGTACAACATGCGTAGGTGGCTTGCCCATTTCTCGTTTACATGGACCTGTCGTGTAAAGCTTGGCCACGACTCAACAGCTAGCGGGGATGGAAACAATCCACTGGCATGTCAGAATCTCGTGGTCGCAGCCACACGTCGGGGCGTACTCTGCTAAGGCAATTCTGAAATCTTGCATATTCTTCTTGGATTTCAGCGTTTCTGTAAGGTGTCTTTTGGTAGCACCTCGTCGAAGGATGACGGAACCACCATGCCCTTAACGCGGCCTGCCGCGCGTGTGTGTGTGGATTGTCCACTGCGATCGACTACTGACCCGAGTCTAAGGCTGCAAGCCTGGCTGTACTGTCAGCATTCTGGTTGTCGGACTGAGAAGTTCAAATCCGACCATGGGCGTTTATCCGATGTGCGATTATTCAATACAACACGTCTAGAGAATAATGTGACCGATTGTTGATTAATACAACATTATGAGAGCTCAACCCATTGCGTTTTCCTTTGCGATGCGATCGACCGATGTGGGGATGATCATTTACTTCTGGAAACTGATTATCACTCGGTGGCTGCATTTGTCCCACGACTTGGAATTACCTTACGGTCCAATAAATCACACGCCGGACGTGAGAGCTTGTGGCAAGTGCAGCCAAGCAAATCAAATGTGCAAGTCTTTGGACCAGCTGAAATCTTCGTCTGCACTCGAATTCCAAATGTTCGTAGTGATGTGCATCCTCTCGCGCCAGACAACCTATTTTCGTGCGTGGCTCAAGCAGCCTCATAATCCAACGCCTGCTTCTCACGTAAGCCGGGTCAAGACTGACCAAGTGTGACATCCATCACTATTCCATTGCTATGGATATAAATGTCGTTTGACATTCAAGATGGCAAGCCTTTTGCTCGTCTTTCCCGCTGTTACTAAGACAGACTTTTCCAATGTTGTCATCAAACCCAGACTTTTTAGAGCGCTCGACTGAGCCACTTCTCGATGGCGAAGGTCAGAATTCTGCGATGACTGGTCTAGTGGACAAAACCCACATAAGATGCAGAACAAACCAGACGACCGAGATTCACCACCCACCCTTGACCATATCTAGCACAGAACTGAAGGTGCAAGGGCACCTTAATAATAGCCGCCGGATGTCTTCTCTGAATAACATACTAAGAGGTTGGTGGCAAGAGCTATTATGGTTATGGATCAGCGTTCTCGCGTTCGTCATTCTGGTTGTTCTCTTGAACGCTTATGACAATCAACCTCTCCCTCAATGGCCCTCTGGAATCACCCTGAACACGGCTGTTGCTTCGTTGGCCACGATAGCGAGGACAGCCTTGACTATTCCAGTCGCGGAGGGTCTCTCCCAGAGCAAATGGAGTTGGTTTAAGCGCAAGCCACGTCCTTTAAAAGATTTCGACATGTTTGACCAGGCGTCGAGGGGACCATGGGGCAGCCTCACGTTACTCGTCCGAACAAAGGGGTGGCATGTTTGCAGCAATCCTTCCCAGAACATGTCTTCACTAACAGTCCAACAGGTTCATTGGAGTCATCGCAGCTTTACTGCTCACCTCTGGTATCGCCACATCCACTTTGACCCAATCAACGGTCGCGTATTCGACTCGAAATGTCCCAATTCCAGGCGAGGGTCATGCGACCGCATGGCGGTTACCTTCATATTGGTTGACGCCCCAAAATATGTCTACCAGTGAGCGGCATTTCATTGAACTACAAGCACTTACAGCGAAGAGCTTTTAACATTCTCTTAATCAGGAAATGTCATGGCTCCAGCAGCAAGAGGGATTGCGCAAGGGATTCATTGGCCGGTCAACGGAGAACTCCCGTTAAAAGAGCCTCAGTGTTCCACGAGTAACTGCACCTGGCCACGTTTCAGTACTCTTGCGGTATGTCATAAAGTTACAAGTAAGTAATACGCTTGGTGGAACAAGGCGCAGGACACCGTGAGCATAGCTGCTTGTCTTCAGTCATGGAAGGAGGAACTCGCTCTTCATATCAGATGCGCAACTGACCTGTTACAATTCCAGATATCACCCATTTGATCAACACTTCTACCCGTTCACTGGAGGAAGGCGGCAACATCGCGCTGCCCAACGGGGTCAATATGAGTACGAAGCCTGGCCGCTCAAACATTCTCGTGAATACTGGACCATCCTTGTCGTACAACGGCACGTCAATGGAGGCAGCTGCCCTCTTCAACTACTTTGGCGTGTACTGCCTGAAGCCCGACGGGAATGTTGAGCTGATCCTAGGAGTCGAGGTTATTCTTCACTGGTGTCTAAACACATACGAGGTCCGGATCGAAAATAACGTCCTCAATCTCACTGCAGTACTGTCACATACCGAAATCCAAGCCGAGGAGGTCAATTCGTCAACAGCAGTTGAGCGTTTCCCAGAGCAGTACCTCATAACACCCATGGAAAAGAACGCAAGATATCTGTTCGGATCCACTGGTGTGGAAGAACTTCGCGGGCTTCTCAACTACTCATTAGCCGGTTTTAGCGTTGATACTGGAGAGAATCTGATTTCAAGTGGGAGTGACATGCTGATGCAAGGGGTTGATGAGATGGAATGCGAGCACAAGGATAAGAATTCAACAATGTGGTGGTGGGACGCCGTGTCGAGCATGGCCAGAAATGTGGGAACTGGCCTAACAAACTCGTGAGCCTTCCATTTATTGTCCCCGGAATTGACTTTCACTGACCTCTGAGAGGGTAGACTTCTCCCGACTGATTCAAACATGAAGGGCGAAGCTTGGTTACCTGAGGTGTATGTACACATCAGATGGTCGTGGTTGGCGCTGCTAGCTGCCCAGATTTTCTGTGCCGGGCTGCTTCTCATACTCGTCATCATAGAGACGTCTGCGGCAAACGTCGACATTGTCAAAACCTCCACCTTGCCAGCACTCTTCGCTGTGAAGGCAAAAGATAAAGAAAGCATGGAGCACTGCTTTGAAGAAAACCGACAAGTGGGCAATGCCTATTCCAGATTGTATCCCCCAGGCATTGGTGGGGAATTATGTCTCCAAGACGGTAGATGGGTTCTTGGAAGAAGATAGACTCAAGTAGAAGATCCTGATCTCTTGGCATTGGGCACTTCGAGGTGCGAATGACAGTCAAGACCTTTTCCGGTCTCGTCCCAATTTTCAAAGCTTTCAAAAGGGAGGTGCTCGCGGTCTTTCGTCCCCTACGGCTTCATCTGCACCACGCGGGAAGGTGGGAATAATGCCTTCTTCGAAGATCTGAGTCATCTCTGGTAAAAGTGTAGAACGCCAGACTGCGCCGACGTGGTTTGACGAGGTCTGGAGTCCTCTTGAGCCGCCTGGGAGACCTCCTGACGCTTGCGAAATAGGATATGTGAGGGTCTTATGCGATTTCTTTCCCTGTTCCACCTGCGCCGGGAAACTTAACTCTTGCGCATGGGACATTCTTTCCGAAGTTGATGAGCGGGTCTACAACTGACAGACCTTTTGCCGATGTTCAGCTTCAAAATTCCTTCTCATGTAAAGTGCAGCTCATTGGTGTGGTTTGGAGTCTTAGCTGGATTAGTTGCGAACAGGACACCGTGGGCATAAGGGTGCCATCTGATGAAATCCCCCTGTTCCAAGTTACTTGACCATGCATTTGCGATCTAAGTCAAAACCAGCCAAATCGTTGGCGGGAAGACGCGATGTCACTTCGAGAGCATGCATTGAAAGGCCGCTTCGTCGAGTGTCGTACATGGCGCCAGAAACGACGCAATGACGTGATCTGACTCATCTGCTGGTATCACAGATTCAGTGTACGAAGCGCCATCCATCGGGGATTGTTTAATCAACAAATCCTGCAAAAGTCCTCCAATCGCCTCTTGCCTTTCAAAAGCCTCACGTGGACTCATTTATTCGCTGAATTCTACAAAGATAACCACTTGACTAAGAATTGCATCCTTATCACCCACCACAGAGCGAGTTTCCCGCGGGCAAGGACTCAGACTACAAGCTCGACCAATTAGATTCGGTGGTATCACGAGGGCAATTACCCCGCATCGTGTATCAACATTTCGGCCTTGATACGGACAGTCTCACTCCTGAACCACAGATGGTCCTTAGCTGGTCTTTCTTTCAGGAAGGAATTTATCGACACGCAGCAAAATGTTGGAAATTCATTGCTCCGGGACGCCCTACGAGGTAATTGATGATGAACAAAGCGTTGGAGATTCTGCTGATCATTCATTGCTGTAGATTGGTCGGGTGCACGGCAAAGAGGCCCGAGATCGTGTCCGGGGATCTCTGGACTTTTACCGCGGCCTCTTTAACACCACATGTGGCCTAGATTGGCCAGGTGTGTGTGAGGAAGCATCCAAGTATGTGACAACACTGGAGACTCTGTGCCCTAGATACCTTGAGGAGATTCGCGGAATCGCAGATGGCGCCGGTGTTGGGTTACTGGATATCGTCGCCCTCAACGTTCGGACCGAGATCAATTTCGGGCTCTTTACCAAGCAACCTTCATTACCCGTCCAGAGCGACGGCTGTACCAGTCTATCCGTCAAGACGTCATCGGATGGTTCGTGGCTGGCTCAAAACTGGGATTGGATGGTCGAGCAAAGCCCTAATCTTATTGCCTGCCACATTACGCAAACCGAGCTTCCCAAGATATCCATGATCACGGAGGCCGGAATCATTGGCAAGATTGGACTCAACAGCGCTGGGGTGGGTGTTTGCCTCAATGCGATCCGGGCGTATGGTGTCGATCACACGAAACTACCTATCCACCTTGCACTGCGCACCGTCCTCGAGTCTAGCTCCAAGACTGAAGCAATTGACAAACTGGTCAAAACGGGGGTTGCCGGCAGCGGCCACATACTGGTAGCAGACCCTGCTGGCGGCGAAGGCCTCGAATGCACAAGCAAGGGCATCCTGAAGATTCCGATCGATGAGAAGGGCCTTGTTGTCCACTCGAACCACTTACTACTGGAGCATCCTGGCGTAGTGGAGCCACCTTGGCTTCAGGATTCGCACAGAAGAGTGGTCCGGTTGAGAAAGCTCGCGGAACGGCGGGTTGAAAGCGGTAGTAATGTCGACACGCCTCAGTTGTTCGACCTGTTCAAAGATCAGGAGGGTTATCCGGGATCAATCGATCGCCACCAGGTGCAGGATTGCAAGACGCAAACTCTGTTCAACATCATCATAGACCTATCTGAAAAGCGTGCGACGGTCAGGTTTGGACGTCCTACCGAGGATAGAGAGCCTATAGAGTTTGCATTTTAGCGATGCTCTTAAAGTGTGGTTAGAACAAAATAATTCTTTGCTATCCCCTAGTCTAGTTAAGCTAACGTGGAAAACGCGGCCTCAGTAAACATTTCAATAATAGATATAATTATTTATTATATTTTATATCTTATAAACTATCTCCTCTAATATTAATGTAGCCTTCCTACTACTTACTCCTATTAAACTGTTACGGTCAGCTATCCGACAGTAGGGTCTGCTAACAGAAGCTGGGGATTGACACGTAGTAACAGTACACTGGGGTTGTGGTCTGGGTCGTAGGTCGTAGGCTTGTAGTAGATCAAGTCTTCAGAGGCTAAGGTGATCAGCCTTAGACTCAATAAGTATTCGCAGTGAAGGTAAGCTGAGAGTATCCTGAGGATGAATACTAAGTTGATTGCTGAAGAGCTATGGAAGTCTGACCATGAG